TGCAGGGCTTAGTCCAGGAAACCTAACAGAAGCTCCTCTTAAGGAGCTTCCGGCTCTCCCATATTAGTAGTAAAAGTGTGGGGCGCCATTCTAAATCACTATGGCTTTTTAAAATGGGGTGGGCACCAGAGACTTACTGGCACCATAACCACTACTGCACGCTATAGTGATTATGGTGATTGGAGTGTTGCTTTAAATATCCTGAGAGGTATATATAATGTAGCATATTCACAAATCAGAGAAAGGCAAAGCAATTACACATTCTGGACCTAAATAAATTATTTGTAAATAACATTCAACTTACCAATTTTCCAGGTAGTCTGATTTGCCCTAAATTTTGGAATTTATTTGCAATATCATATTTAGTGAATAATCCCCATTGTTGCTTATAATTTATACACTGTTAAGGAACGCTGCTCTGTCTAACTTCTAATAATAAATATGCTGTTACATATTATTTAGATTAGATCTTCTTCCCCTTACAATACTTCCCCTAACTTCACTCCCTCTGCTGTTCTATGTTCATTCGCACCCGCTACATTGGAAGAGGTTTCTGCTCTGCTCCGGTCCTCCCGCCCCACCACCTGCTCCCTAGATCCAATTCCCTCGCACCTCATCCGTACTCTGTCTTCTTCTCTTTCTCCACCTCTCACTAAAATTCTCAATCTCTCTCTCTCCTCTGGTATATTTCCATTGCCCATCAAACATGCAACTGTAACCCCAATTCTAAAGAAGCCCAGTCTTGACCCTAACTCCCCATCCAACTATCGTCCTATCTCGCTACTGCCTTTTGCATCCAAGATCCTTGAAAAAAATTGTGTATGCGAGATTGACAGACTTCCTCGAGTCCAACTCTCTGCTAGACCCGCTTCAGTCTGGTTTCCGCACTAAGCACTCTGTGGAAACGGCACTGACCAAAGTATCCAATGATCTACTCACTGCAAAATCTCGTGGTCACTACTCTATCCTAATTTTCCTTGACCTGTCTGCGGCTTTTGACACTGTTGATCATCAACAGCTTCTTCTCATCCTCCGCAATATCGGTCTACAAGATACTGCTCTCTCCTGGTGCTCCTCCTACCTCTCCCAGCTCTCTTTCAGTGTTTCTTTCTCTGGCTCTGCTTCTTCTCCCCAACTCCTCTCTGTTGGTGTCCCCAAGGTTCAGTCCTTGGTCCCCTACTGTTCTCCATCTATACTGCCTCCCTTGGTAAACTCATTAGCTCCTTTGGCTTCCAATATCATTTCTATGCAGATGACAAGCAAATCTACCTGTCCTCTCCTGATCTCTCCCTGTCCCTCTTGACTAGTGTTTCTGTCTGCCTCTCTGCTGTTTCTAACTGGATGGCTGCCCACTTCCTTAAACTAAATTTGACCAAAACTGAAATTCTGGTCTTTCCTCCCTCAAGTGTTGTTACTCCTGTGTCTGTCTCCCTCCAAGTCAACGGTGCTACCATCAGCTCCACCACACAGGCCGGCTGCCTAGGTGTTCTCTTTGACTCCGACCTCTCCTTCAAGCCTCATGTTCATTTATCGCCAAATCCTGTCATTTCCATCTCAAAAACATTGCGCGCATCCGCCCCTACTTAACGCCAGATGCGACTAAGGTGTTGGTCCATTCCACTGTCCTTTCTCAACTTGACTACTGTAATCTGCTTCTCAGTGGTCTTACGTGCTCCCAACTAGCGCCGTTACAGTCCATAATGAATGCGACGGCGAGGCTCATCTTCTTGTCCGCCCGCACCTCCCATGCCTCACCCTTCTGTCAGTCCCTACATTGGCTTCCTATAAAATATAGAGCTCAATTTAAAATTCTGGTTCTTGCTTTCAAATCTCTACATAATGCTGCTCCCACCTATCTATCCTCCCTTATACAGAAGTATGTCCCGTCTAGGCCCTTACGATCTGCTGAAGACTTACGTCTATCTTCTGTCCGTACTCCCACCTCTGATGCTCGCCTTCAAGATTTCTCGAGGGCTGCACCGAGCCTGTGGAACTCGCTTCCCTCCTCCGTTAGATGCTCACCCAGTCTCCACTCCTTCAAAAAAATCGTTAAAAACCCACTTCTTCATAAAAGCATATCAATTAAACTGTTAATAGCTCCTGGATGATTCCTCTTCTGCAACTGTCATTAGTCTAATACTATCCTTACCTTTTTGTGTCATTTTACCCCACTCCCTCTATGTAAGCTCATTGAGCAGGGCCCTCAACCCCTCTGTTCCTGTGTGCAACTTGTCTGGTTTACAAATACATGTCTGTTCGTCCACCCATTGTAAAGCGCTGCGGAATTTGACGGCGCTCTATAAATATCATAATAATAATAATAATAATAATAATAATTAGTAATAAATTATCTGTACTTTTCTAATTAACATTATGTTCTGTATTAGAGACAATTACTTTCTGTATATAGACAATGTCGATTATCTATACACTGACAGACGGGTAATATATAAAGGGATATAAAATGATGCTACGTTATTGTACCTATAATAAGGATAATGAACTCACTGCTTTGTACAAAAACACAGAGTTATTCTGAACATGCCGCAATATATAATTATGCACATTGCTATACGTTGCTAATTAACAAGCTGATATATAGTAGCAGCTGTGAATGGTATATCCATTCTTACATCCTTATTAAGCAGACAGCACCAATATAGATTTGCAGATGTTGGTATTTTTTCCAAGTGAGCTATGATTTCATTTTGTCTCCTTTATCCTAAAATTTGAAATTCAACATTATGGGGCACTCTCAGCACCATTAAAACTACATCATGTAAGTGTCAGCTTATGTCTTCAGCCAGCAAAGTCAGTCCAAACACAGATGGAATTGATCTGCTGAGAGGGACTGGAACAGGGGTAGTCGGAGGACCCAGGTAAGTGTCAAACAATCTGACAGTAACATTTATGGCGCCTAGAGTGAGCCTGTGAATCTCTAGGCACACTCCAGACACCAATAAAACTTAAGTGCATTTGATTTGGCTTCGTATTCTTTCTGTATTTTTTTCTATATGTAAATCTCTTGGTTTTACTTAAAAAGGAAAATAGCTTTGCAGCACTGTGTAGCATAACGCTACAAACTTAGCCACACCCGCTCTTTTTTTACAAAGCAACTTCCTTATTAGAACACACTCTGAGTATGTATTCAGCTCATCCAATAAGAGGTCAGTATGAGCTGAGTTGCAGATATGATTGCCCACAACCAATCACTGTCCTCTAATTATTTTACCCCTTGGCATGAATTTGAAATGCCATCCAGAAGAGGACAGTGATTGGCTGTTTGTACATAGTCAAGTCAGCAGCTCAGTTTACACTGGTTTCTCATTGGCCGAGCTACACTGTGTATTTTCCAATCAGGAACATATTTTGTGAAAACGTGGCTATGTTGATGGGGTTATGCTACAGAAAGCTGTAAAATGTTTTTTTAAATTACAGCTAAAGAGGATTGGACAGGGAGAAAAGCACAGAAAGAATGTTAGGCCAAAGCCAAATACACTTAAATCGTATTAGTGTTTAAATAATCCTGAAAAAATGACCCTGTTAACTATAACAGAATACAACCTATCTAGAAACCAATAAGAGTTGATTTATTAAACTGAGAATTCTTCAATTCAGCTTTTTTTTTCATCACAACGTATTTGGTGTAAAATTTGATTTTTCCTTTGTAGGTTTGAATGTGTCCATATCTGTCACTGTGTATCTGTGAGTGAGTGTGTTTCTGTTACTGTGTCTGTCACTGTGTCTGTGAATGGATATGTGTGTGTCTGCTAGTGTATCTCTGTGAGTGAATGTGTATCTGTTATTGAGTGTGTGTGTATGTCTGTCAGTGAATGTGTGTGTCTGTCACTGTGTCTGTGAATGGATATGTGTGTGTCTGTTAGTGTATGCCTGTGAGTGAGTGCGTATCAGTTATTAAGTGTGTCTGTCAGTGAATGTGTGTGTCTGTTAGTGATTGTGTGTCACTGTATGTGTATCTGAGAGTGTGTGTCAGTGTGTTAGTCTTAAACAGCGAGAGGCGGGGCACAGACTGGGGAATGGGGGTGCCTGAGTTTTGTCATGCCTAGGCCAGTTCATATCCAAAATACACCACTGGGGCATTGTGTGCACCCTTCTCTACATACAAAGAACAAACATGTTTACTGCTCTATAAATTAATGATGACATTTGCAATTCTTTGATCAATTCCTGACAATTACCAGCCGAGATGGAAATTTTTATCTGAATTCATTGTAACTCGCTGTTTAGTGGAAAAATCTCTAAATAGTCTATTTCGAGGTAAAGCAATATGAACAGGACAAAAGGAAAACAAAAGGGATGAGAGAGATTGGGAGGAATAGAACACCAGAGAGAAGAGCAGCAGGTTTGATTCAACCTCTTAGGGAGACATTAGAAGAGAAGATAATGCTATCCGAACTCTGAGAGGTATTGATCTGAGAAAAAGCATCTGAGTTAATAGATAAAGAGGGTGGAGGGAAAGGGAGGAGAACTGGATTGCGGAGTCAGATAAAAAGAACAAGGGAGAAAAAAGTGGCAGAGCAAGAGAGCAGGAAGTACACAAGAAAAAGAGTAAATAATAATAAATATGAAATCTCTACCAAACATCACAGATTTGGTAGGACAGTTCCACTGTCCCGGTTTCTTATCTGGGGTTGCACTTCTGAGAAAACCAGAGACAACTGCCCAATAATGTGCAGTTCGTTAGTTGCCCTCCTGTTGTATAACCTGAACTCAGGACTTTCAATATATATGAAGAGCAACAGCTCCTTGCACATCGGCTAAAAGTGGGACTAGCCAGTGCAGCAGAAGTGTTTCACTGACCCACCACCTAGCGTAGGGGTGCCCAAAAGGTAGATCCCCAGATGTTTTAAAACTACAGCTTCCATGATGCTTTTTCATTCTAAAGACAAGCAAAGCATCATGGGAGCTGTAGTTCTACAATATCTGGGGATCTACCTTTTGGGAACCCCTGACCTAGTGGCCCACACCACATTCGTTTTCCCCATTCATATATCCCAATGTATACTAGTGGTTCTAAATGTTTCTTGACAAAGACTAAAAATCTGTGCATGGCATTTGATGGGCAACTGCATTCTGCAATAATAAAATTAGTTCAGTAAATTAGTTCGCTCAATTGTAATATATTATGTACAAAAACTAATAATGCAATACATCTTAATGAGACTCTCTCCAGAGTAAGAAATATCTAAATTGAGCTGGGGAAGCAAAGCCATTACAGTAAACAGTCCATTGTGGGCGATCGCCTGAAGTCTAGAAAATAATATGCGCTTGTTCCAGCCAATAGGGATCTAATAAATTGTGATTGACAAAAGGACAGATATAAAAGGATGCACTGGAGTCAAAGGGGTTTTGAGTTAAGTAGAAAAGAGAGATAGACACAAATGCACTCACCTTTCAGAGGGGGCAAAGGGGTTAGCTCCTGCTGTTTGCTCTGGTAGCGGAATTGAGAAGAACTGTGTGACCTGCGCTGTCGGGAGCGACGGAGGGAACGTCTGGAGAATCCATCAACTTTGTCTGCTGCTAGGACTGGGGACAGACCCGGGGAGGATGGACTGGTCGGGGTGAGAGGAAGCTTGGTCTCCATTAGTACAAGATGGTACGAGCAAGGCCTTTCTGGTCTCTGTTAGTTGGCAGTATGGGACAGTGGAAGCACACAGAGTCGGCCTAGTAATTCAGACCCAAGTGAGTACTTGTAAAACCAGGACTGGCCATGGCATTTGGTGATCCTGCAGTAAATATAATATCGGTGTTAATTTGTCAGCATCAGTTTTATTTTTAAAAACATTAAAAAATTATAAAGACCACTATAAAAAATTAAAAGACTATTAAAGAATATTAAAATTAAATAAACAAACTGTTCTAGAAATATTATACATTATTCAATTTTTGGCAACAGTGTTTTCATGCATGTGTCCAACTGCTTCCTGTTTCAGTATAACCTTACTTCTGTATATATTATAGCAGTGCTCATCACCATTAAAGGGTATCTGCATGCCCCAAACTACGTATGTCAGGAACACTATAGGATCAGGAACACAAACGTATTCCTGACCCTATAGTGTTAAAACCACCATCTAGCCCCCTTTGGCCTCCCTAAATATAGTAAAATCTTACTTGTATTCAAGTCTGCAGCTGCTGCCTCCCCCCTGATCTGCCTGCTTGGCTGACTTAATAAGAAGTGATTCTCTGAGCCAATCACAATGCTTTCCCATACGATTGGCTGAGACTGTCAAGGAGACAGATCAGGAGCAGAGCCAGCATTTTCTCTGAAAAGACAATGTTTACTTTAGTTGTTCTGGTGAGTATAGTGTCCCTTTAAATGTAATCTATACATTGTATTAGCAGATTTGCTAGCAAGTGTATCGTTTAGGTCTTTCTCCTACTTCTCATTTAAATCTCCGGCATAGACTCTGATATCATAGATATGACGGACAGCAGAAAGAAAACTCCCAAATCATGGACAGATCAGTACCCCTTCTTGGTTTCCTATGGTAAACAGTAAATAGTGTGTTGTATGTCTTCTGTTCTATTGGCACAGACCTAGCTAATCCCTGGTTATTCTTTATTCTATATTCCTTTGACCTTTTACTAGTTTACTCAGTTCATTCATTCTTTAATCCCTGGATATCAGCTTGTTCCTCACTACACTTACGTATATTTCATATTTTTCTTATCTAGTCCGTTATTACATTTATCCTGATTTTGTCTTCATATATACTGTTGTGTAATATTGTCATTAACATTACATGTTTGAGTCACAAGAAATACAGCTGAAAATGGGAATTTACAGCATTCAGGTTAAAGGAACACTGTAGGCACCCAGACCACTTCAGCTCATTGGAGTGGTCTGGGTGCAGTGTCCCTTTTGCACTTAGTGCTGAAATGTTAGACATAACATTCCATAGAAACTGTAATGTTTAAATTGCAGCTCTGTCTGTCCTCAGTGGCTGTCTACCAGATAACCACTAGAGGGCTTCCTGGGAGAAACAGACCTTAGGTCCGATATCTGAAGCTGGACGCCATCATGCTCTGCATGAGGACCTCCAACGTCAGATTTGTCCCCACAGGAAAGCATTGATTAATGCTTTCCTGAGTGGAAATCCTAATACGAACACAGCCATTTCCAGCCGGCATGGGGACGAGCCTGACCCAGCGCCAATGGACATCGGCACTGGTTTCAGGTAAGTGACTGAAGAGGTTTTAACATCTTCAGCGCAGCGGGAGGGAGGCACCTTATAAAAGCCGTTTTCCTGGCACCATAGAATCCCTTTAAGCAGAGTAGGCACCTGCCCACAGACACCTGTCCTATAGGGGGTGCCTATTTAGAGCACTTTTAATGTGCCTTCTCGGAGCTCAGGTGGGAGTAAGGGAAGAGAAGTACAGTGAGCCTTTGCCAGTAACAACACTGCAGGAACAGCTATAGACGGATGTATAACTCAATGCTGTCCCAGCTCCTCCAGTGTCTGTGTGTGAGGCTGGACAGGAAGTGGAAGGGATTGTTTTCCACCTGCCCATTAACAGCCTCACACACAGAAAGTGACTTGCAGGAGTTAGTTATAGGCTGGTGAGTACTTTGCAAATTAACCCTTCAAACTCCACATGACTGTACCCTTAACCCTCCCCCTTTTCCATTAAGCCCCTGTCAAAACCTAAACCAACTCTTTCTTTAGTCCCAAATCTGAGCAATCAAAGCCTAAACTTGAATCAAATCATTTACCTTAATCCACCCAGTTATCCTCATCTTAAAAATCATACACACCATGTACCCCAATACTAAATGTATTCCCACTTTAACCCTAAACCCAATAACCACATACCTCAAAACATTCTAATTTAACTCTATTACCTCCTCCCCCCCTTTACACTAACTACTTCTAACATTATATTTAACACTGCATGGATTTACACAGGTATATACACTGACTATACTTACAGATTATAAATAGTGTTTTTAACACTAAAGTGTCAGGAATCTTTAAGCCTTTTTTAAAATACAGATTTACTATTTTATTAGTAAGTCACCCCCTTGCCCACACCCCCACTCACACCCCTAAAATTAAAGTGTTCCTCTTTGTTCATTTGAAATGTTGGAAAAGTTTGAAGTTGCAAATTAAAAATCGAATGCAGTGATTAAGTGTTTAGCGAGCAACTAACTATAAAGATGTCATTGCAAATCAATATGCTGATCAATGTTGTAGCAGCAAAAAGAAAAATACAGAGAAAATGACATATTATGTTCTCCTTCTTCATAGTCTTCCAGAAAAAGGGTAGACAACCTTTGGCACTCCAGATGTTGTGGACTACACCTCCCATAATGCTCTTGCAGCCATAACGGTGGGAAAGCATCAGAGAAGATGTAGTTCACCACATGTGGAGTGCCAAAGTTTGCCCTACCCCTGCTTTAGAATATGTAGTCATCTTCTGCAATATGAGCCAGTCATTCGCTATTTCTGCTGTCTCCGAATCACTAGTTACGATATAATGGTAATGAACGCATTTAATCTCCAGTCTCGACCACCTACATTTTACACTTCTAATCCTTATCAGCTCCAACCTAACCCACAGTAACCTTCACATTATCTACCTAACACAAAATAACTACCAACTACTTATCCACCTAACCAAAAACAACATACCTACACTAACGTCCACTGATTACCCACTTTACCCACAATAATCCACATTTTTCTCATAGAAACCAAAGTAGCCCACAACATACTCACTTAACCATCTTACCAATTTAACCTTAGTAAGCTTCACCATACTTATCAAACCTAGAACGATCCACATATCGGGATAGTAACCTAAACCTTACACATCTAAGCCAAAACTGAATTATACACCAAATTGTGAATTTACTACCGGCTTTCATATTTTAAGTCTAAATAGCTAAATAGGAAAAATAAATAAATAAATAATTCTCAGATCTAGTTCAGCTATTTTGGACTTGAATTTGCAGTTCTGCAGTAAATTTTCATAATTTTGGTTTATGGAATTATCCAAACATGATAAATACTAAATACAAACCTAACCAGAATTAATCCAGACCTCATACATCCAACACAAAGTAAACTATTCAGTACACACACCGTAGCCAAAGTAACATACACCATATCCACCAAAAGAATTTCACAATTTATTCAGCAATTCCATTTTAATTGGGAGCCCACCACATTGCTGTCAAATAAAGAGGACCTGTTAGAACCTTGAACAATGTCGCTACGAATGTTCTGACGGAAGAACTCAGTGGATGTTATGTCCTAGTTTGCAAACAGCAAAATCCAGAACTTTAATTTTGTGCACTACAGAAGAACGAAAAGGTCAATACAAAACTGCTCTTTTATAAAGGTTATTCAAACACACAGGCCTGGGGCGGGGCTGGGCCGCCGGGCCCACTGGATGCCATGTACATGGGATCCAGCACTAACCCGAGCAAAAAGGCGTACCAAACCAACCCCGGCTGCTTACAAGTCGGACATCATGACAGCCATACACAGGGTACAGCCCCGGCATATCACAGCCGCTGACACTAAACTTATTGCAAGCCGGGCCGGCAACAGATGCCGCACGCTGCCTACACGCGGCAGAACACCAGGCCACCCACGGCCGCTACACGCTGCAAGGAGCCGCAGAGAGACACAGCCCCCGAGACACCCGATCGGGAGATACCGCACAGATGAAGCCTCCAGGTTGGGGGGTACACACCAGACCCAGGGCGCAGCCCTGCCCCCCCCCTCTTAAGCCGGCGAGGGTTATCCCGGCCGCATGGCGGCGACCCGAACTGCAACGAGGGCTCCCGCGCGGAATGCTCGCTGGCTGCCTACACTGGCAAAGGCTGTGGAGGAGACAGCAAGCCAGCAGAAGAAGACACGGAGGGAAAAAGAAAGCTCTGGTAGAGTGACATACAGATCCCAAACTGCGCATTGCCTGGAAAAAGGAGCAGTTCATTGCCTAGACACCCTGATTGGGATTAAAGAACCAAGAGCCCCCACAGAGGTTACAGAGGCTAAAGACCAGACGCGGCTGCGCCCTATTGCACTTCTTAAATAAACCTTGTAACACCAGAGAAGGAGTAGCAGAGAGGAACACTAACCATGGGGGGCTGATCTGGACGGCCCGAGCGGACTTAGGTGCAGCAGAGTGCTGGATGGATCCCCGCGGTGGCCGCCTGCCCGCTGGAAAAGTGAGTGAGCAGGCCTCTGGGTCTGTGGGGTCCCCGGGGTGCCAAGTCCCTGATGCCGTGGGGCGGGACTGCGCGGCACCTCCGGTGGCCGGGGGGGCGCGTGCCGGCACCAAGTATGTGGCCGGCACTGGGAGAGACATTAGGTCACGCACTCCCCCGAGTCTTGGATGGTGATGGGGAGGTGCAGGGAGAGGGAGGCCCGTGTACTCAAGGTGTGGGAGTCGTATGGACTGCCTCTGCTCCCGAGTGCCCACAAAGCCATTGAGGACTCTGGTGATGGGCGGGGGTTGTTGCGTGGAAGACAGATGGAGACTCGGCGGCCGGGGAAATGCACGGCAGTTGTGTCATGAGAGGCCCTCACCGAACTGATAGTAAAGGGACACTCCAGGCACCCAGACGACTTCTACCCATTGGAGTGGTCTGGGTGCAAACTCCCACTATTCTTAACCCTGCAAGTGTAGTTATTGCAGTTTTTTATAAACTGCAATAATTACATTGCAGGGTTAACTCCACCTCTAGTGGCTGTCTACTAGACAGCCACTAGAGGGCACTTACTGGTTTCTAGCACAGGAAACGCTATGTGAGGACTTCCAGCGTCGCTCATTTCCCCATTTTCAATGCTTTCCTATGGGGAGCCGCACATGCGCATTAGGTATCCCCAGCCCACTGGCCGACGCAATGCAGAGGAGGAGCGGCGGCGGAGGAGGAAGCAGCGACGAGGGACATCGTCGCTGCCTCAGGTAAGTTACTGAAGGAGGTTTTCACCACTTCAGCAACCGGGGATTGGGGGGTGGGAGGGAGAGGGGACCTGCAGTGCCAGGAAAACGGATTGTTTTCCTGGCACTGGAGTTTCCCTTTAAGGCCAGCCTGGCTCTTATATTGCTAAAAGTTTTAAAGTTCACACTATTAATTTTTTACAAATTCAGTTATATTGCATGCCTCTTCCGCAGCTCACTAGACGCAGTTATAGCACTAATAGACATGATTTACTATTGTCACACAAGGTCTGAACACTTCACTACACTTCCCCATGGGCTCGCTAACGTTACCTGCCTTACCTAAGTTTGACTAATCAATGCAACAGCACACACGCATCGACTAAGATTTAGTTACTAAACATACCTTTATCACACGCAGACCGATACACATTATCTGTTCATGATATGAAAATCTGCATCGGTAACCGCGCCTGAGTAATTAGCCTGACACATACCACATATTGCCTTTCATATTGTCATGAACACTGGAACACTGAGCCAGACTACTACTGTCTTATGTTTGCTTGATTTAGAGTTATGTATGCCAAGACATAGAAAAATCTGAAAAATCTATGCACGCTTAAATGAACCAATATACCCGCCTCTGTGCGGGCGACAATCCGCATTTATTTTCATACACCGATACCCGCGCCTCTGCGTAAGTGACCACCCGCTTTAATGAAAATATGTTTGATGCGCGAGATTATGACATGACAACAATAAAAATATTCAAAACAAACACACAGGCCTCATAGTGAAAGAAAATATGCTAGCTAACACATTTTAATCAATCACATACCTATATCACTCATATAGTATTCTATGTTACTCTAGCAGTGTTTAATGCCTATAATGTTTCATTATCGCCATCATTTTATGGAATTCTTTCTGTGTGCTGAGTTGTTTGCGTCACATGTTGGTGCAAGCAGATGTGTCTGCTATGTTATATTTGTTATTCTCAGATAATGTCGTGGGGTGATTCTTCAGGTAGTGATGGGTGATATTTATAATAATAAATGCAGCATAGTACCAAAATGTAGTAGTGATAAACTGTGTAATTCATGCTCATTGCAGTTTACATCTGATTGCTTAAATTGTGATCTAATGTCTCCCACTGGTTATCCAATTCTGTTACTTGTTAAAGGGACACTAAAGACCCCTGTAGCACTTCAGCTTGCCGAAGGGCTTTACATGTGAAGAGGTTGTCCTCTTTTTTTTTCATTTTACCAAAAGTGCTGATTTTAGAAATTGGCACTTTTATCAATTAACCTTGTGACATCCCCTGGCTTTCAAGCAGAAAACAGGTAATTTTACTTTATGGTTTGGTTAGCTCAGTGGAGTTAAATTAAACTCAAGAGGCTGCAATTGCCCAGAGCACCTGCCTTACAAAGCCTTCTGATTGAGCTGAATTGGGATAGCTGTGATTGGACAGCCACAAAAAGTCTGGGCGGGGTTAGACTAAAAGGCTTTGCAAAGGCTGCAGACAAGAGCTCTGCAGTTTTTGCAAGCTGTTTTTAGATATATTCCCAATAAAAAATGCATAATTAAATGCGTGCATGTTTTCATTAGGAATATATCTACTAAACAGTTAAGTGATTTTTTTTTTTTTTTTGTATATGCGCAGTAGAATGTCAATTAAATTGTGTTTCTAGCACTATTGGACCAATTTAAAATGAAGGAATTGACATTCGTTTTGTGACATAATGTATAGATAATAAAAATTACTATACCGGTACATACAATCAATACTGCTAAGTGAATATATAGATGAATCAGAAATATGATGAAACCCTTTAATATTGATAATTTGTTTTGGAAATATATTATTACAATATTTTATATATATATGCACGGGTAGAACCAATTTTGTTTATAACTTGTAGTCAAGGAAAGCGGTAAAAAAGAAATCATTATATATACATTTATAGAATTTCTGTAAGTTAATAGTTTGAGAAAATGAGAGGTAAGGCGATATAATGTATTAGAGATTACAATGTACCCTTTCTTTTACAATGCTTCTAGCAGGTTTCAGAAAAAAATTTAAATGTAGCAATTTTATAATATAAGGTCAAATGCATAGTCGATGGATAGTAGCAAAGAATCTATAGGTATTTTGGTGAAGGCAGAATAAATCCTCCAAATGTCATCAGAATGTAAATATGCTTGTCACCCTCAGTTTCTCTCCATGCTTTGTCAGTGTTGAGAATTGTGTCTGGCCTCTGCCTCCACACCCCATCCTACCCACTTCCCACTGGGATACGGCAGCTGCGTGAGTTTACAAGGTTAACGTGCTGATTCTGTTTGCATGCACACCATCTGATATCAGAAATGTATGTAGCTTGGGGATGCAGAACCTCAGTGTCCCTGTTTTATTCCCAGTTATAGCTTTGCCCAGTGAGAAAGCAATATATACATCGGATCACAGTTAATACAAATCTAAATTTTATTTAAATTGGACTTTTCCAGGGACCCTAGCTGTCTTGCATGGAACAGCTTCTGGCTATCCAGTCCATTTCATATAGGCTGTATTTGTGCCATGTCCCAGCACTCACTGTATGGGTAGCTTTGGTTGGCAGACTTGCAGGATCTGGTTGTCACTCAATGAACATGCGTACTACGCTAGCATGTCCACTTTCTGGGCAAACTGTGTCATTGTGATGCACATGCTACATTGGCACACCTCTACTCTGGCCCTGTTAGGTATGCTATCATGTATACAGCATATACTGTCCTGTGTACAGAATACCAAGCCGCATGTACATGTAGCCTTTTTTTTTTTATCATGTAATAATACCAAATGGGATAGTTAACATGCTCCATAAGCCAGCATTAGCTATTTGTGTAAGGTTTAGCTTGCAATTCCTCTGGATCTCATCCGTGTGAGTCGGAATAAAAATAAAAAAAATGTGCATATAGGACATTAGTTATGTGTCTTAATTTTTAGAACCTGATAGTTTCTTACACCCGTACTCAAGTAGGCATATCCTTAAGCTCTGCATGCACGCCTTTCCATCAAATACACTAAAACATGACTTTGCAATTAGGACAACTCCCCTACCTAGAATATTTAATGTGGAAGACACAGTGGCACATCCGCAAACAAGGTCTTATATCCTATTCTTTATCATGTTGTATCCTGATATCTAACACTGGGTCTTGTGAATTCATTGCACATTCATGTAACAGCTCTACAGAAAAAGTCAGATATATGTATAATTGCAGTATAACGATCAGATTGTGCAACTAATCATCCCACTGTTTATTTTAACTTCATTACACCTTCTTACTCTATAGCACCTGTCCTGCAAATGTCACATCATTTATATAAGCGAGGTATATAAATAGATAAGGCTTCCCTCTTCCTTTACATCCATCTTCCCTGTGACTACACTGCACATGTATCGTTACCCCACATTCCTATTGGAGACGTATCTTCAAATCTGCCTGCTATTTATTTTTATTTTTGCATGAATTACTTGTTTAGCCATTGTATAGCACTAATGTTACTGAATGAAAAAAATAAAATAAATAACAGCATGCATATAACAATCTGAAGACCTCTGATTATTACAGTAATAAACCAAAAAAAATAAACATTTCAAAGGTCTCCAAAGCATCTATAATTTCACGGAATATTTATTGGCTTGTAGAGACTTATACCTCCAACTTTCTGTCTTGAATTTTCTGCTTTCTTAGTGCGTCTCTCTAATCCGTTGTTTGTTTATGGGTACTATAAATATCCAACCAGAGGAAAAGACAATTTATTCATGAAGACACAAATCCTCTAATTGAAGAGGAAATTAAGAGTAACCAGACACAACTATCAGAAAATAGCAGAGAATTAAAAGAATGATATCGCTGTGTTTTTCTGTTTCTTTGTGCGAATTGTAAGTTTATTAACGAGCATGTCTTTTTACGAGGCTTCAAAGGAACAACAAAAAAAGTGTAAGGATCAATTTGCCTCAATACAATTTCACTTTGCAGGTCTGGATTACCTTCTTCTTATCAATGGTTTGGTGGGAGAAAAAAAAAATCGTAATCGTTTGCTCAGATTTCAATAAAAAAACATTTAAAAAAATAATAATTTGCTCAACATGTAGGAATTGGTAGTGAGCAAATATATTTTTACATCCACTAAATCCAGATGACAAGATGATGGAATTTTCCTCTCTTTTTATTTTATTTTGGAAATTCTACAGAATATCCTGATCTCATAAGGGAGAGAAATAAAACGTATAGGTTTCAGCCAAAAATCACATTTGAGATGCTGGGATTCGCAGTGTATTCCAAATTCCCTATAGGATCGGAGGCCTGATCCGTTATAGATTTCCTTGATACTTCATGGTTCCGTCAATCCAAAAGGATGATACCTTTTTAGAAAAAAAAGAAGCTGAATGAAAAGAAATTGAGTTTTGTACGACAGAAAATTTCTCAATGTCTCTCTGTATCAAATCAGTGACCACGTTCTATCTCCGCACAGATACAATCACTGTTTCCCCTGCAGCTCCCCCGTGGGATTAAGCAGAATAAGAGAATAATTCTGGGACTGCATGAAAATGAATTATATACCTATCCTTGGGGAAATTGTAATTGTGGTCAAATTTTCAGGACGCCAATTAAATAGGATGCAGAAACAGCTGGGACCTTCTGCTGCGAATGGGATTCTACTTTTAAGATCTTCCTTCTTTATAGGATTTTTCGTAGGCCCGTGACCCTCCTTTATAGCATCCTGTCCTTGATCCAGAGGGGTCGTCTTCCTCTGCTTTGAAAGATCTGCCGCTTTCTAATGTCTGGAGCAGCAAACAGCTGTAATGTTTATTACGAATTCATATGATTTCTTAAGGTCTTTTTCTCCCAAATATCAGCAGCCCTGCTCTTGCAGAGGCTGCAGGATCAGTACAATGACAAGACCCAAACCTATTCCAACCCCCCCCCTACACATCTCCCATCATGTGATCTTGAAAGAACAATTCCATTGGTCTTTTAATAATAGGGTCTGCGTCATTGCTGGGAGGTGATGTCACCTATCCATACAGCAATTGGCTGCAGGCATGCTGGATTTAAAGGGACAGCTGCCTCTAGGTAAAAGGAGATGCATTGAGAAGGATGATTTAGCTTGTAAATGTATAATTTGAATTTATTGCTGTAATTATTATTGTGTGTATGTGCTTGTTAACATAATGTAACCTGTACATTTCTGCTTATGTTACTGCATGTGTTATGTATTTATTTGTGTTATGTATATATTATGTATTTATTTGTGCTTATTATTCTACTACCTTGCATATATAAATTATGAATGTAGTTGAGCTATTTTTGCTTGTAAAATATAAGGGGAAAGACTCCCAAGCACTAGCGTGTGAATTTGTGTGTTAATATTATATATATCAAATAATATAATTTAATAATTATGTTAGATCTCCAGAGTGTAAGCTTGTGTGAGCAGGGTCCTCTACACCCTCTGTTCCTGTGCGTCCAACTTGTCTAGTTACAAATACTTGTCTGTTAGTCCACCTATTGTACTGCGCTGCGGAATTTGTTGGCGCTTTACAAATAATAATAATAACAAACACATTCCATTGGCACTTAATGGGTTAATCATGTGTGTGAGTGTGGGTGAAATTCTATATGTATCAGTAACATGACATTTTGGTTAGTCAACAACTTGCATAAAATGGAAGAAATTCTATATGGAAGTAGTTCCTGTGTGGGCATCAACTTACATATAATCTTTTGATTTTTAGGTTGAATGAGTCAGTTATTATGAAATTGATAAATGTATTACACATGTGATAAAACCTAAATAATACAATATGTTGTGTATCTCATGATATTATATAAAATATTTCAGATATATATATAGGGGGCACAGTAAATTGGACCTGCTATGATTATATTGCAGGGTTAAATACACCTCTAGTGGCTGCCTTCCTGATAGCCACTAGAGGTACTTCCTCCTCCAGAACCGAGTGAATAGCTGATAGCAGCATTTGATTGGAGGATCGCTGCGTTTGACTGCGCATGTCTATTTCCAATCATTGGCTTCTCTATGAGAATCACTGGATTGAAGGCTGATGTCTTTGAAAGCAGAGTGGGCAGCTGCAGCAGAGGAAACAAGGTAAGTATTCTTAACATTAACATTTTAATTTTTTAATAATTAAGGGGGTGGACAGACGGGAACCTATAGTCTTATTTTTATGATCATAGGTTCCCTTTTACTTCTTAAATTCCAACCCCTGGATACATAGGTTTCCTATTTAAGGGGGCCATACACATTATCTCTTTTTAGTGGGCATGATTGATGCAGTAGCACAAACCTTTTAATTAACAGAGCGTAAGGGTTTCATTTTTGGCAAATTTCTACAAATAGTAAACAGATTGTAGTACTTAGCAGAAGGTGTGTGTCTATGTTTAGAGTTGGTATTTGTATATAATTTTAGCATTTTAATACAGTTTTTTTTTTTAATGTTAAGCTTGCATTTTCGTGCAATAGTGTGTTTGGATGTAGTGCGGATGTACATTTGTGTGTATTGGTGTTTGAGTGAAGGGTGTGTTTAAATGTTTGTATATAATTTTAGAGTTGGAGTTCAGGGTTGTCTTTGTGTGTCATGTTTGTGTTTGCAGAGGTGTGTTTTCATGTTGTGCTGGTGTTTGATTGCTGGGATGTCTGCACATACACACAAACACAGATTTACATACATATTAACAAACAGAAACACACATAGAACACACTGACACACATTGATACACACACTGCACATAAACACATTGATACACAGATACACACACTAGCACATACACACATACTGACAGATACACTGACACAAAGATGCACACTCTGGGACAAATATATACACACACTGGTACATACACACACACAGATACACACTGGCACATACACACACTATGGCACAAAGATATACACACACTGACACACAGATACACACACTGGTAGATACACTCACACAGATATACACGCTGGCACACAGACACACTGGTACATACACACATGCTGGTACATACACACAGAGACAGATACACTGACACACACTGACACACATATACACATAAACACACATTGACACACAGATACACACACTGGCACATACACAAACAGATACACACTCTAGCACATACACACAGATGCAGACATTGTCACACAGATAAACACACTGACACACAGATACATACAGTGACACAAACACAGATACACACAATGACACATACACAGTTACATACAGGTATTTGCAGTCACCATCCTGTCAGATTACATTTTTCCTGCAGGAGGGTGACTTGCTTGGAGTGCTGCAGGCTGCTGGCTGAGGCTGGTGTGCTGCTCACTCTACCCGTGACACGCTGTCAATTCCTCCCAGCATCCCATGCTACAGGGGCCAGTCACGGTCTTAAACGGCTGTGGTGCCCTGTTCAGTGATACCGATCGGATGGCCATAAATGATTGGGCCTACCCGATCGGCAAATTGCTGTGGAACCCAATTTTGTTCTTGTGGAACCCTAGGGTTCCGCAGAACACCAATTGGGAAATGCTCGTATAGACAATCTCTGCAGGCATTTTAACGTAAACACTGCCTTCTCAGAGAAAAGGCATTTTTTACATTACTGCCTAGGAACACCTCTAGTGGCAGTCACTCAGATGCTCTGTAATGAGGCGCTGAACTTTCCACACAGAGATGCATTGAGTGAATGCATCTCTATGAGGAGATGCTGTTTGGCACAGCGTTTTTGCCGCACATGGGCGATAGCCTTTCTATGCCTTTTTTATTGGAAAGCATTGGATTGGATGAGATAATCAAGTTTGATGATCCCAGCCAAGGGGGCAGAGCGTGGGCGGGGCCAGCCATAACCGGACCTGCCTGGAGCTGGCAGAAGGTGAGTTTAACACCTTTTTAACCTGAGGTTAGGGGGGGGATTTAGGGGGATAAACAGCTGTTTAGACCTATAGTGTCAGGAATATACATTTGTATCACTGACACCATAGTGTTTCTTTAATAAATGCTCCTCTGTCACATGGCAAGTAGGTAATTGAGCACTTGCCCTGCTACACCAATGGGCAACTAGAGGCCGCATCTCCCCAGAGACCAACAACAGGCGGCATAACCTTGTAACTGCTTCGCACTTATAGCGCTGACCATCTGTCACAAGCTGTGGCAAAAATGAAACAACAGGAGTCGGAAGACAAGCAAACAAAACCATCTCAATGGTGTCAGGGAGAGTGGGACATTCTTCATCCTTGTTGCTCTAGTGCAACATTTCCCCAATTAGTGTTCCGCAGAATGCTTGGGTTCCGCAAGAATAAAACTGGGGTTCCACCGTGATCTCCCCACATCTAAGATGGCAGCTGCTCCCTGCTGTTTCTGGAAGTCGGAAACTGCAGAGATCACGAGACCGCAATCTTATTCCTGCTCGCCGTCAGCCATTTCAGACTCACTCAGTTTGTTGTAAGCATTGATGCAGGACGGGCCTGTGTAGGAACCCTTTTTCTTTCAGGCTCAGCTATTCTTGTTGCATCAGTCATCAATGTCAATCAGCAGTGGCTAAGGCCAGTAAGGTATTGTCATGCATGTAAAAGGGCATTCATTCTCGGGACAAGAATATCATTTTGCCTCTTTATATATCACTGATTAGACCACACCTTGAATATGCTGTGCAATTTTGGGCACCTGTTCTAAAGAAGGATATTATGGCACTAGAAAAAGTGCAGAGGAAGGTTACAAAATTAATAAAAGGAATGGAACATAGCTATGAAGAAATTTAAACCTCTTTAGTTTAGAAAAACGTCGCCTCAGAGGGGATATGATAATATTATACAAATATATTCGGGGCCAATACAAACCATTGTGTGGAAATCTATTCACAAACCGGACTTTACATAGGACACGAGGTCATGTGTTTAGACTGGAAGAAAGAAGATTTTGTCTAAGGCAAAGAAAAGGTTTTTTTACTGTAAGAACAATAAGGATGTGGAATTCTCTGCCTGAAAAAGTGGTTTTGTCAGAGCCCATACAGATGTTCAAACAGCAACTAGATGCATACTTGCAAAAAACAGAATATTCAAGGATATAATTTTTCAATGTAGGGTAATAGCCTCTTGACCCAAGGATAAATCTGACTGCCATCCTGGGGTCAAGAAGGAATTTTTTTCCTAGTTTGTTGCAAAATTGGAAGTGCTTCAAATTGGGGGGTTTTTTTTGCCTTCTTTTGGATCAACAGCAAAACAAATGGGAAGAAGGCTGAACTTGATGGACGCAATCTCTTTTCAGCTATGTAACTATGTAACTATTACTTTTTCACAAAGTTGGTACACAATGTCAAAGGGTTCCACGGAAAAAATGAATTGGGAACCACTGCTCTAATACAAAGTGTGAGTCACCTCCTCAGCCCCTTTTTGAAACTTTGTATCGTAAGCTTTAGCTAACCAATCAGTGATCGCTGTCTGAACCTTCCTGAGAGGTACAAGTGTTTTTGTTTTTTTTATTATAAACTGCAGTAACATAATCTGCCCGTGTGTGAAGAAACAACTGTAAGTAAACATAATATTAAATAATAAAAAGTCTGCCGGCTGATATTTTACTGCTGGATAGATATCACAGAGTGCAAAAACCGGCGTTTTTACCACAAGACACCCCCAGAGATGTGCTAACTCACCTACACTACTTCCATGCTAAAGAAGCACTACTTCAAGCAACGAGAACGGGCGGCGACCCACCACAAAAATACAAACATATCAAAATGTTCACAGACCTCTCTGCGGCTACGCTGCAAAAAAGAAAAGAATTTAGGGAAACGACTGAAACCCTCCGCTACAACAATATACAGTATAGATGGGGATTCCCTATCCGCCTCCTAATCAGAAGGAATGGACTGGTGACCACAGTGAACACCCCAGAAGAAGGCCGCAAACTGCTGCGCAGCTG